AGCGTGAAAGTAGAAATCATGAGCTTCACTATATGTACAATTTGCTAGAGTTGGCTTTAGAATAACCAAGAAAAGAACCAGAACCAAATGCCCAGTGCTCGCGTTTGTGGTAGCGAGGTAGCGCGCAACGCGCGGGGACGAAGATGAGCAGAGGAGAAAACCAGAGCCGACGGACTATTTGGCACTTCGTACATCTCCGCGGGTCTCAAAGAACACTGCAACATTATACAGTGCTGGCCATAATTATAAATGCACCATAGAAATGTCGTAATTTGCGTTCTTGTTGATGAATTTGTCTGAAACTTTGCTGTGTAGTGCGCATGTTAGCCTAACATGACCCCTCAAAAAGGCTTCCAATTTTGATGAAATCAAACGGAGAAAAATAAAATTTGAAAAAAACCCCATACCCAAAGCTAGACAAAATTATAAAAACATCTAACTTTTTGGAACACCATCGCATTCCCCGACTCTGGAACTTTTTGTATAATCGCATACTGAGATACGAAATATCTGCAACACTGCATCTGCGACCTGTCATCCTTTAAACAAAAAGATTTACCGCATTTTTTGCTTTCAGAAGCTCTAAAAGTCAATCTGCCTCAACAAGCAGCTGGTTTGAGGAGTTTTCAAGATCTTGTTCATCTCAGATGATAGTCATGGAGTCCACTGAGCCTTCTCGATAAATGAGTTGAAGAGCGTCGTAAACTCTACTGATCGCTGATATTGACGGACAGACTCCAACCTTAACATAGGTTTGTCACGCTTTCAAACCACAAAACTCAATTTTCGAGCAATAGAAAATACTGTAATGTAGCCATTACGTCGGCTGTACAAGAGTAAACCTGTGTGCTCACTCAGGACAAATTTTGAATTGGCATTATGGTTCAGCCGCGGTTGTCATCCACTGAATGTCGAGTGGAGCACCCCTCATAATCATAGGTAACTCAGATCACAAGATAGAACAGGAGAGCGCTCAGAACTTCAAAATCTTAATTAATCTCATTCTTTGGATAAAATTTGACATGGAACAGAGAGGAAAACAGTGAAATTTATGATTGTCTCGAATCCATTCTCGCAGGGAATTTTTGTGAAAATTTTTTCAAGTTTAGCTGCCGCATCATTAGGGAAAATCTGAATTGTTGCGGAAGCTACACCACCATGTAGGCAATGTAATAAATCAAGTTCAACATTTCATGGACATTGCAAACTGAGTTTTGTGGTTTGAAAGCGTGGCAAGCCTATGCTGAAGTTGGAGCATGTCCGTCCATAACAGCGATTACGCACACTTTACGAAAGCGCTTTTCAACTCATTTACCGAAAAGGCTCAGTGGACTCCATGACTATCATCTGTGATAAACGAGATCTTGAAAATTCCTCAAACCAGCTGTTTGTTGATGCAGATTGACCTTTGGTGCTTCTGAAAGCAAATGACAGGTCGAAGATGTTGTAAATGTTTCGTATTTCAGTATGCGACTGTACAAAGAAATTTCAGAGACAGGAAATGCGATGGTGTTCAAAAAAAACCAGACGTTTTATAATTTTGTCTAGCTTTGGGTAGGGGGGTCATCGAAATTGGAAGCCTTTTTGAGGGGTCATGGCAGGCCAACACGCGCACTATACAGCAAAGTTTCAGACTGATTCACCGACAAGAACGCAAATTACGACGATTTCTAGAGTGTCGTTATAATTATGGCCAGCACTGTATATTATTCCGACGGCCATGACGCGACAAGGATTACTGACAACGTCCCAAGCGTTGAAAACCACTCGTTAACGAGATAGACTAGCATTTTCGTGCCTACTCTCTACGGAAGATTTGAGCACAGCTTCTCGTATTCATTTAACTTCAACAGCTTTTCCAAATTTCTGAAACTCAAGTTTAGTCAATTGATAGGTCAGTTGGAAAATGTTGTCCTGAATTTTGGGAGAATATCCACAGAAATCTTCTTTTTATCGTAGAAAAGACTATAAAAACGCAAAAACTCGAATTCGCTGTGATGACAAAGAAAATTAATTCCTATACTTGCTTTATTCACATTCATTCCGTTATAGCCAGGATTATAATATCCGGGGCCAAGCCCCGGATGACTTTTTTCTTTTCAGGTAAAGTTTGTGTTCTAAGGTTGCTCAAAATGTCACCAGAGTAAATGGCTCTATGTATCGAGGGTATGGCAGAAGCTTTCAGGAAGGTTTTGAGCCATTAAGAGTCGCATTTGCCCTGGCAAAAGACAGACAAGCTAAAAACTTATACTGAAAGGCTCAAATCGTTGATTTTGAATATGAAGTTTGCACATCACAGTCATGCTTCTTCCATAAGCTATTCGATGTTAACCGTAACAACCGCTTTTCAAGGTTTTCGAAAAGTATGAGACCGTTAAAACATTAGGTTGGCTAATAAATAAATTCGTTTTGACATGCAAATTCAAAGCTTCATAACAGTTCACTTAACAGCTATTCAGCTAAGATTTTTTCGTGAGAAGATAGCCTCAAGCCTCTACTCTTGAATGTCAAATAGTCAAGATTTTCTGTTACCATAAATGACAGTTATAACCTTATATGGTCAGACTTCTAAAAAATTGCTTCTTTGACTTTCTAGCTTTCTTTCTCAGCCTACAATGAGTACACAGGCGAATAATTCGGTGGCTGGATACATACAGCCTTTAGCTAGGCGGCGAACCACAGTAGAGACTGTGACCTGCTGTTTCTAAATTTCTGCAATAAAAATTGTGAAAATTTCCAGGCATTTGCGTGTGAAGGTCAAATTTTGGGCGTTCCAGATAACTCGAATTTGGCCATTTATGGCCATGCAAATGGTTGGAAATCTAAAGATTTGTTGTGTGGGTAGCGAATCTACACATTAGACCTAACTTCAGTTCGTTTTTTAGAACGTGATTTTCCGAAATTTTGAGGGAAAAATCTGACCAATTTTCTTTCCTTCACCATTTCATTATCAGAAAAATTATTTTCGAGATAACGAAGTTAACCATCCGATTCTCCTTGATTTGCTTTTTCCAGAGGTACCATATATACACTACAAAAACTGATTTGTGACAATTCTACAAACCGCTAAAAACGACCGAAACTTATTTTTTAGCCAACCTAATAGTTCAGAGGCCGTATTCATCATTAATACCTTAAGGTAAATCCTACTTCCAGGTAGTTGTATCACTCATTATTATATAATTTCATCACTGATAATGAGTGATAATACTACCTGGAACTAGGATTTAAGTTAAGGCAAAAATGATGAGTACGGTCTCAGGAATCTTGTAGAAAGTTATGTAGTGAAATCACATGCGTGAGAACCCTGCTACACCATTATTTCAGATCTCTTTGGAATTTTTCTACTCGCCTATCGCGTAAGAAGGAAGAGGATATCGTTTTTTTGTGAGGTCTGGAGATGAACCCCCAATGCATGTTTTAAGTACGGTGTATACAGAGTGTCCCAAAAAGATGTGCACACTCGTTAATAACTCCCTTGCTTTCAAGTCTTTTGCCGAGCTTGAGGTACTATTCTGCAGAGCGAGGATAAACTTATTGTTAGATTTACAGCATGGAGTGAATCACTAATCACTTTTCATCACTGTAGGATTATGGTATCAATTTTCAGCATACAGTCTCACTGTGGAATAGGCCTTTTGATGAAAAAATTTCAAAAAAAATCTGAAAATCTGTGTAGCGAGGTTTTCAGGCATGCTAATATCACTACATAACACTCCACTAGTATTTCGAGCTTTTTTGATGGTATGATTACATTCCTGACGAACATTGGAAAACCAGTTGTTACCCTAAATCTGAAATAACTCTTGAATTTAACACTGTCTTGTGTGCTTTTCATATTTAGAATCAGCGACTTCGATTAACCCAGTTTAAGAGTTTCTGGCTTGTCTGGCTTTCTTTCTGAGGCAAAATACCGCTTTAAATAGCTCAAAGTCCTCCTCGAAGTTTCTACCGTAATACTACAGTAATGAAGTAATAATAATACTGATAATCCGCTCCATACTGTAAATCTAAGTTGGACCTTGCTCTAAAGAATGGTACCTCACGCTCGGCGAAAGACGTGAAAGCAAGAGAGTTATTAACGATCAAACAGTGTGCACATCTTTTTGGGACACCCTGTATAAAGAAATCACCATCGTTTCTTGCAAAATCGAGGTCTCTCCCGAGAGTGTGCGAATGTTCAGAAAACCTTCTGATTACGCAAAGTATTCGGAGTTAACTTTGCATACAGAATTAACCGAGCGAAAAATTTTAAGGAATTGGCCAACTTAAAGCCCACCCAATAAATTCTTGCAGACTTCCTCCTCACAAACAAAATATCCCATCGATATTCCACATAAGTCATACATCTATATACTTTCATCCCGATTTAACCTCAAATCATTTGTAACTTAATGTGTGAGATTGCACACTATGTACAATTAGCGACGGCACTCCTACTATTAACTTTGCAGTAAAACATTTTCTAGTCTAACAAAGTGTAGAAATATGTTCTGTTGACTAACGTATGACCAACAAAAACAAAATAAACAAGGAAACAAGGAAAAATCACTGGAACTGAGTAGATTCTGGTTTGCAGTTCGTCAGTTAGCGTGTATAATGTGCATTACACATATTAAGTTACGGATGACTCGACGATATGTACTTCATCCCAACTTTCTTCCCCTCGATCAGATCCGCTTTTTTATTCCACCTCGTTATCTTCTGGAGAGGTCGCAAGCCCTCATCACCGCCCTAGAGATCCTATTCTCTGCCATTCCGACAGTTCGCTCCAGTGTGCTGGCCATGCAAGCGCTTAGTTCAAAAATGCGCTGAAATGGGCAAAAAGCTTGCTTACAACTACGAGAAAATGATATGGCAACAATTTGGTGTGTAGATGCACATGGGGTGTTGATATATGTGTAACAATATTATTATAAACATTTGATAGATAAAAAGCGCACTTACGTACACGAAATGCACTTGAAGCAATAAAAATATCTTTACTTTAACTCTCGTATGTTTTTTACCTGGAGGTAATCACTTCACTCTGAAACACAGAAGTACACATATCAAAATCGTGTGAAAGCAGAGAACGTTTCCAAATTACTGCTCTCTGGAATGTACCCAGGATTCCTCCTATCATTAGCGATACCAATGCTATACAATATTTGCAGCACAATGCTCACGAATGCAACTTCCATCAAATTTCATTAAATTCTATGGCAAACGAAGGTTTTCTTTCGGTATATGCTCCGCTTTGGACTCGATCGAGTTTCCAGCGAGGTTAGAGCTTTTCGCACGGGCTGCATTACAGAACGTTGACCACTTCTCTCCTGCGGGATTAGCCTTGCTCTCACGGTCACGCTTCTGAGATAAATATAAGTTTTTGCAATGCAGTTGCTCTCAAAAGCCAGTGCGAGAATTCTCAAAGTTCGCCTGGAAAGCGATGGATACAAATCCAAATTGCTTTCTGCTCTTTGAGGTAAATTTCAAATGCTGTTTTTACTCTACGGAACGCCAAACTTTCTTTCTAGAAGACCAGCATGCTCTCACAGTCACCTTTTAGAGAGAAATGTGAAACTTGCATAATGCAATCGCTCTCAAAAGCGGGTTTTCATGAGAAGTGTCAAAACTCGTCTGGAAAGCAAGAGATAATCTTTCTCAATAATGTTCTCTTAACGGAACACCAAGCTTCTATTTCCCTCGGTGATGCTTGCTCACACTCGGTCACCTTTTGGAGAAAATATGAGATATCTTGAAATGCCCTCAAAGGTGAGATTTTCGTAGACTTTCATGAATTCTGTTCGGCAAACGGTGCATAATTTTCTAGAATAGTGTTCTGCTTTAGCATAGTTGACCACTTCCTCGTCTCTCTCGACCTCTATGCTCTCTCTCTGTCCTCATCACTACCGTGTCTCCGAGAGCGATTTATGCTACTGGCTTTTACTAAAACAAAGTCGTGTATGGGGCGGACCATTCTTGCTGTTACGTTTTCTGGTTTCCGGTTTATGTTATAAAGTGTACGATCGGTGAGTCAGCGTGTGTGCGGTGTGGACTGTGATTGTACTGTGTGTTGTTGATCGATCGGCTGCCACGCGGGACTCACGCACAGCGAGTACACCTCAAACTTGGGTAATTAAACCTTTATTACAATGTCTAACAACTACAACATGAGCACGATAATAATACACAAGGAATATAGTTTCAACGTATGACAACCGAGTAGCCTGTGAATTGCTGTGAGGGTTTCTGTGAGGGGACTGTGACTTACTGTGAGAGATCCGTGAAAGGACATTGATAAACTGTGAACTCCGTGAGGTAGTAAGGCAAGTGTGGGAAAGATACAATTGATAATACATGAAGTAGCAAAATAAGAAACAATAAAGAAACAATTGAGCAATGAGATATAAACGATAAAAACATAACCAGTGCATGCTAAACTGTGTCAACTTCTTATATATATAAGCGAATATAAACATACTAAAAACCAACATGAGAAAATCACCGATAAGCCATCAAAGTACTTTGTCTGTGAGAAAACGCACAGCCTTGATCGCCGTGAATCACATCAAATTCCTTGAGCGCAAAGTACGATACGAACGGGAAGTTCGTATACTCCGGCCTCAGCAGACGAGTGGAGCAACACTGTTGACGGTGAAGTGGTCGTCGTGGTAGTCGCTGACTTTGACTTCCGTGTCGCTGCTCGTAGTTTTGCTTCTTTTTAGCTGCTTCTTTCCTTGATTGGCTTACATAGAATTGCTTTGTCTTGCTTGTCAGCTGTGAATGCTTCTCCATTGTCAATCTCCAGTGACGCAGTTTGATTCGATCGTCTTCGCAGTCCGGGTCCATCAGGATGTGCCATGACAGCTTCTTTTGTGGCTTTCTGTGGTGATTCTTCTATCTGGACTGTGGGGTTGGTCTTCCTACTGTGGGCTGATGTAGGTCGTACCGCGTCCCTGGGCAGTACGATACCTTCATTCAGCGACCTCTTCAGTCCTGCTGTGCCGTATCGTTTTCGGATTTTCTGCTGTTGTCGTGAGCGCCATCGGGAGTTGGACTCTGCTTCCATGTCCGTGAGCGTCGTCCTGAGTCCATCGAAAGCCATGGCAAGCGCTCCGAGCGTTTCGAACAACGATTTCCTGATGCAGCGCATACTCCTCTCGTAAAACGCACCCTGCCACGGTGCGCAAGGGGTGATATGCCTGCACCTTCTTCCTCGTCGTGCTATTCCGCTACCGAGTTCTGTGCAGTGTACCATGTCTTCCGTGGCGTTTCCAGAGATGTGCTCACTCGACGAAGTCGTTGGTGCCTTGTCCCTGATGATAATCCTTGTTGCTCCTTTTCTTGCACGGGATCTCCGAACTGTGCTGCTCCTCAATCGCTTCGGGGCTTGCCTCACTGAACTACTGTGTTCCACGTCGCTGTGCTTTGCTCGTTTCGCATTGCGCGTAGAATGATACGAATGGAATTCGTATACTCCCGCCTCACCGACAAGCTTGCGACTGAGATGTTCTGGTTTTGTTTTGGGCCCTCCTTTGACTGCCGATGTGATGCCTCTCCAGCTGTTGCTTTCCTTTTGAGGTTCCATTCCGGTTGCGATTCCTTCGAGGTGTTCACTTTGCTTCTTGGAGTTTCGCTTCCTCTTCTTTTCTTCCTTCTTCGACGTTTGCTGTCTTGTACGAGCCGCTTCCTCTTGTGCTTTCTTGTGTTCGTAGTGAAAATTTTGTCGGCTAGAATTACTCCCGTTTCTCCTGTCCCGCGCCATGACGGTATCATGGCGCTGGCACATACTGTACACCCACTCTCGCAATTCTTGGTACTGCCGTTCAACCTCCTTCTTAAAGTCCATAAAGTCCTCCTGCCATCTGTGGATCGTTTCTCCTTCAGTGTATTCGCTCGTTTCGGTGTCACTTGAAGAGAGAGAAGCCGTTTCTGATCGCACATTAGCAAGCTTTACGGGCGCGTCTGTGGAAGTAAGGTTGACTGGTGGGTGTGTTTCTTTGTCGTGGTCCAAAATGGAGGACGAGAACTCCTTTCTCCTTGATACGGCTGACTGTGCCTTTATTGCTTTCATAGCTTCATTGTCAGAACAAAAGTGCGATGCGATAGCAGTAGGTGCCCTTTCCTTGAGCTGTAGGACTGCAAGGGTTGTACTGTGCGCTGCTCCGCTTGTTAGTATAAGAGTTTCTTCTCCATTCATTTCGGTTGCGTCCTTTACCACATTTGCTGCCTTTTTTGGATGGTTTTGCATTTCCGCTGCTTCTGCGTGATTTTGGCTCTCGGGTGAAGATTCGTTCTCATTTCCTGACTCTCGCGAAGTAATTTCCATGCAGATGACCGTGTGGTGTTTTCTGTGGCACTTTCTGCAATTGCCGCTAGGGCATGATACTATTCTGTGACTTGAGGATCCACAATTGAGACATCTGTTTGTTTCTAACAGAAATCTTCTTTTTTGTGTTGCTGTGCTTATTCTCGGGCAGGTTGTCCATCTGTGCCCTCTTTTCCGCAGCATTTCCGCAGCATTCGCATGGGGTTCCAGTTTTTCTCCAGATCTGGAAGTGTGTTGATGGTTGTTGTGTCTTGCAACGGAGGACCTGTGAATTGACCGTCGATTGAGAGCATATGGTTCAACTGTTCTTCCTGTGAAATGATACGGTCAATGGCCTCGAGCCATTGGTCCAGCGTCCACTCGGACTGGTGCTCTTCTTGGTCTCTCAGTCTTCTTTCAATAGCCGCTTTCCTTATGCGATGAAACTTTTGAAGAAAGATCTGGATGGATATTTGACTATCGAGATGTTGACCGTGTTCTTCTAGCTGCGCGGCTATCGTTGACAGTTCGTCCCACAATTGTCGCTGTTCCATCGTACTGGGTCCCCTTGTTACACAGTTGTGTAGGCTTTTGTTTAGTTCCAAGACTATGCCATCTTTGTTGCCGTACCTCTTGATGAGGTGTTGGATGGCCTTCTCGTAATTATTTGCTGAAACGAAGAAGCGTGAAACTGATTGTTTCGCCTCCCCACTCAGGGAGGCCAGCAAATAATTGAACTTTTGAAGCTGTGACAAGTTTTGATCATGGACGTTAGCTTTGTACAAGGCCCAGAAGTTATCCCATTCCCATTTTCTTCCTGTGAATGTAGGGATTGGGATTACCGGGAGTCTACTGACTGCAGATGGGCTTGACCGGTCATCTGCCTCTATCCCGATGTCTTCTAGGGTCTCTTCTAGCTGTGTCCTGTGATCGTGCAGCTTCATTATCGTTGCCTGGGTTTTTTCTATGTACTTATCCAAGTGATCTTCCTCCTCTTCTATGGTCTCTGGAGCTTCACCGAAGGCCTTCGTTAGCTTTGTCAGTGATGTCTCGAGAAGCTCAATGTATCTCTCACAGGTTTTTATCCTCCTTACGCTTTCCTTGGCTTGTATGTCGAGCGCTTGGGTGGAGTCCTGTAGCCAGTTTACCGCTGCGTCGTTCCTTTTAGTGACAAGTCCTTTTAGTGACCTTACAGTACTGCTCATTGTTAGTTGAGTTAGTGATGTAACTGCGATGGCTATGCGGAAACTGTGATTCTTACTGTGAGGGATCTGTGAAATCTGTGAGATAGCTGTGAGATAGCTGTGAGGCGAATTTCTCCGTGACTCGCTGTGCAAACAGTGCTAACCGTGAGGTGAGTAACGTGCGGCTTATTAGTTGGAAGCGTTACTCGTTAGCAACAAATCGTACCTCAATTCCCGGCCGATGCACCACTTGTACGATCGGTGAGTCAGCGTGTGTGCGGTGTGGACTGTGATTGTACTGTGTGTTGTTGATCGATCGGCTGCCACGCGGGACTTACGCACAGCGAGTACACCTCAAACTTGGGTAATTAAACCTTTATTACAATGTCTAACAACTACAACATGAGCACGATAATAATACACAAGGAACATAGTTTCAACGTATGACAACCGAGTAGCCTGTGAATTGCTGTGAGGGTTTCTGTGAGGGGACTGTGACTTACTGTGAGAGATCCGTGAAAGGACATTGATAAACTGTGAACTCCGTGAGGTAGTAAGGCAAGTGTGGGAAAGATACAATTGATAATACATGAAGTAAGCAAAATAAGAAACAATAAAGAAACAATTGAGCAATGAGATATAAACGATAAAAACATAACCAGTGCATGCTAAACTGTATCAACTTCTTATATATATAAGCGAATATAAACATACTAAAAACCAACATGAGAAAATCACCGATAAGCCATCAAAGTACTTTGTCTGTGAGAAAACGCACAGCCTTGATCGCCGTGAATCACATCAAATTCCTTGAGCGCAAAGTACGATACGAACGGGAAGTTCGTATATAAAGAAGGAGAGAAGATCGACATGTGGAGGAGTCAGATAAACAGTAGCAGCAATTTTGCTAACGATAAGCTTCTCCCATTTGAATCCTTGGTGGGTGTCATGTGAATGGTTTTCTGCACTGCCAGTTGCTCTTTGAACTATCAACACAATTAAACTGTCACTTCAAAAGTTTGGCTCCTTTGCGCTCTATAAACTTCGGGCTTTTGCATGCTATTGCAGAAAGATCTAACAAGGAATGCATGTTTAGTCGAAGTGCTTTTTGAATGGGACGTAAACCTTATCAAGGGCACAAATTGCTAATTCCAAATCTGTCATCCTTATTTGCAGAGCATTTATGGGCGAGGAGTTATGAGCGTTTATTGGGGCAAAAAACTGAATGAGCAAGCAGGATAGAAATAGCCGTAATACTTTTTCTAGCTCTTAAATGGAGCAGTGATAAACATCAGGGCACTTTATTCAAAAAATACTCTTAAATAAAAGATATATCACACTTGGTTGCATTTATTTGAGGGCTAGTAGGATTTTAGCAGCTCTTTTTATCCAAAATGTAGGTTCAATTTTTAGCTTCAAAAATGCTCATAACTTCTCGAGCATAAACGCTCTGCGGATAGGGAAGGCAGATTTGGAATCAGCGTTTTATGCCCTTTGATATGGTATACATCTCATCTAGAAAGGCCACTTCGACTAAACAACCTTCCCTTGTGTCGTTGACTTTGGCCGCTCCAGATTACTTACTTTCAAGTCAGTCGCTTGTAACGTAATCCCTAATGATTGAGATGTTACTTAAGATGTGCTGGAGGTGGTTATAAGCATTGCAAAAAAATTAAAATTTGATTTTTTGAGGTACCAAAAGATTCATTTTCACCCGTATTCGTCAAAAATCAATACTTCCGTGAAACAATCATTGCTGAGCGTAAGAAAAATCTTTATGATGTCGTGAAAAACTTAATACGAGAAAAGTAAGCTCTGCTCTTCCAGAAAATTGTTTGCTGAGCGAGCCTTGTTATGCAAAGACCCTGTCGCTCTGTGAGTAGAGAAGAAAATAGCCCGTGCAAGTCTCTGCAGTTACTTGCACTTTTCTCAGCTGCCGATTCCACAACTTGGTTACCAAGATGAACAGTACTTTGTTAATATGTATTGATATTCAAAATAATAGATTTGGAAAAAAATATTCGATATATATTCAGAGACCTTTTGAATTAAGCGGAATTAAAACTGTATATCCCAATAAAATTTTGATTTACATTTTGGTGGGCTTGTGCTTTAAAATTAGCGACAATTGTGACATGAGGCTTACTAGCTTGCACAAGCAAGCATGGAGCAGTAGATTTACATTCTAGCCAAAGGACAGGTTTAATAGGTCCTGTCACGAGAATGATGAATGTATACAGCTAAATATTTGCGGGCATGGATGAACACCAATTAAGATATGCCGATTATGACAATCTCGAATGAATTCTCTACTATTCTATATAGCCAGGCTAGAAAAGATACTTACTTATCCAATGTTGCTTCAAAAGCGTATAGTTGCATGCTAAAGTGAGTTTCTTCAGCTGGGCTACCAGGACGGAAGGCATACAGAACTGTAAGGTCGTTTCATAAGCCTTTGTGTGAACGAATAAGATCATCAATCTACAGTAAAAATCAATTAGAATCATATCCCTCGTTGTAGCGCACAATCTTTTGGCACATTCTTGTTAGCTTCTCGATCTCAATATTTCAAGCGGTTCCAAGAAAGTCGTCTAACCAACGCTCAAACTACTTACGCACCGAGACATACACCATTCGTGAGGTCTACTAAAAAGCGGAACAAATGATAGTCTGATAGAGCCAAATTTGGAGAGTACTTTGGGTACTGAGCTACCTTTCAGTCAAATCGTGCAAAACAGTTTTGACAATGTTTTGCCGTATGGGGCCATGCTTCGTCATGCAAAACTCACTGGCTCTGCTGTTAGGCTTTTTCTACGGTAGGACCAGGTTTAGACAGTGCGGTCGGCTTACGATATGGTTGACCGTCGTCTACTTGTACAGCATGTTTCAGTGCAGGACGTCCTCTTCGCCCCCGAAAAGTTTTGTTCAGGGACATCCTGCTCAGCCCCTGATCTTCTGTAACAATCCAACCATTTTTTGTTTCATATTGATGTGTGAGCGCCATATTCCATAACGACAGAAAAATTTGTGCAAAAGTGCTTCTTATAAGGAGAAGTGCGCGAATATCGAAATTGCTTCATTTTGCCTTTCAAGATTTCCATCTCAGCTTTCTACCGGAATAAGTAGGTATATTTTAAAGAGCACTGTTAGCCCTTCCGAATGATACACGTATCCTGCCGCAAATCAACCGCTCCTCAAAGATATAAGGACGAGAATGAAAACGTTACCAACTTATGGAACGATCTAATATTTCACTCAAAGTAGTTTGTAAATGTGTGACTTGATTACGACGGGCTAAACAATAATGCACATTGGGCTAATGGGAAATGTGAGACTTCAACTATTATTAACGACATCATGCTGACTCTAACAAGCAGACGTAAAAAAACCAGGAAGTAAACGTCCTATTAGGATGATCGGAAAGTAACGGAATACTTCGAGCAAAACTGCAGTTTTCTGAAGGAAGAGAAATCATTAGATTTTTCGATTTTGGACGTTGCTGAAACATATTATTTTCGATGTATTACAACTTATGTATATCGTTGATTCATTGATCCGCACGGACTGCTCAAATGCGGCGGACCCGCGTGGCGCGGCTAAAATGCCGCGAAAGCACGATTTGTACTATGGCGGATTTGTATGGGGCAAGCGTTTTACCTCGCGGCGCGTGCTCCGTAGTGGTGTTCAGTCCACGCGGTCAACGAATGAAGTATACTCATTTGAAGCGACGTAAACCGTTACAACAGGCATGGATTTGAGCACTATCTGCGCAGTAAAACAAGTAGGTACACCCAAAAGGTCAATGCTGCAGTGAGCAGCTTTGTGGTACCTGCGCTCCGAGTCAGGAAATATTGGGTTGGAAACTAAGTTTTGCAGCTTTTCTAATACCTTTCCTTTCACTCCATGAAGCATCTAAGGTTTGCTATTTGGTAGTATATGATGTAAGCTGTTAGCGCAGCTGCCGTTCTGCCAGATTCTTGTCGCATTGAGGGTTACGTAGGTATATGTTATAAGGGAAAAAATTATCATATACCACAGACTTTACTAAAACTTGGCCTAGGGGGGTATCCGACATGCTGATCACGAGAACGATAACAACGTTGCGATAAGGGTTTTTTATAAGATTACTGTAGGTTTACGGTATAGGGTCTCACCATAAGCAAGAAAAGAGGCGTTGATTCTACAAACGTATGATTTTCGCCAAATAGCTCCATTATGTGTAGCCTTGGCCAATTTTGAGTTTTTGGCTTTTTAGTCATTGACGGTTATCCCCAGTAGCCCTGCGTATAGCGACTCGTTTGAATTTGTGAGAGCGTCAAATCTCTACTTGCCTCTAAATTTTGATTCTTCTTTACTAAGCCGAATGAGTCAACCTCCAGCAACAGTTGTACCCAACTCCGGGTTACTGCGCATGACCTAGACTGCTAATGGCTTCATGGGCTTATAACCCCAAAAATTTTCGATCACTAGTTTTGGAAAAATGTCTGGGATTTTTCTAATTTGTATCTAAAATTCAAACAGCTCGTGCGTTGTTGTAGCACACATCACCCTCTACATATCGCCAAAGTTTGAGTGCGCCACAACCAAAGAGAGTGAATTTATGAAAGAAGTTGCAAAACTTAGTTTCCAGCCTAATATAACGATGGCCATTTCGCAGTGGATGAGTACTTTGTTATTTATTTCTTTGCAAGGGGAATTCTGCATTTTGATATCAGCTAGAACTTTTTATGCTTATCTATGCAACTTACCTCAAACCTCCATCTTCGAAAATCAAAGCCAAAAACGTGTTTTCTGGTTTTTTGGCGCCAAACGCACTTTTCCAAGTTTTTGCGTTTTTTCACCTGCAAAGAAAGAATTTCAGAGTTTGTAATCATCTAAAAAACCTTGAGCTCTTTGAACGATGTATGACTTGCTTGATGGCTTTGCGGTATAACAGCATCACATCAACAGATGCCTAAAAAGCTCGGTCCGACTACTTCGAAACCACATTGCGAGGATGCGGACGCGGGTGCGGTGACGCGATGTCAGAATATTAGACGAGAATCACTTGTATAAGTGACGTTTGAGTACCTGCCCGGTCGTTGTACATCGAAACAAAAACTTTCAAATCAAAAAATTAAGGTGTCCCAAAAAATGTATCGAACGTGAACCTTTGAAATTATTAGACTGTATTCAAGGCTTCTGGTCTCAGGTCATCAATGCAGAACTAGTCAACTTAGATTCACTGTATAAGCCAAATCGGCGATCTGTCTTCGTTAGTGTAGAATTACGGCAGGAACTTCTAGACTTTCAACTTCCAACATGTAAGACGCCACCGCTTCAGGTCTCGTTTATGAATGAAGCATTCGATTAAGGGAGAAGAGTGAGCAGCTTTAATTAATATGTGTAAGAGTTTCAAAGCTTGTTTGTTTTGTTAAGACAAAATAAGGTCCCCTCCTTCAGCTCTCTTCAGAACCCTACCATAACTCCACACTAATGAAATAATGATCCGTTGATGATCCGCTTCATACTGCAAATTTGAGTTGAGGTCAGCTTTACAACTCGTTTTTAAATGCCCACGAAGGTTTTCAGCAAGTCATTAGGAGTCAAACTTTTGATACAGTTTTTGGGACACTCTGGGCATAATTCTCCCTAGAATAATGGATAGGTAAAAACCCGTACAACGACCATTTTATCGCTTATGAATTTTTCCCCACATATCTTCGAATACCGACTTTGATCCAGCAATCCTGAGGGTTATCGCGAATATTTATCATGAACTGCAGAATCGTAAAAGCATTTATATGCCGTCTTCGATGGTGCTTTGCGTTGTGTGTCGATGTCAGTACTTTTCTGCTTGCCATCCAGTATTTGATTTTGACATACAATGGTTTCCATTTCTTCTTACGATCATCTTCATGATTCGCAAATTGATAATTATGATGCGACCACGCCAATCTCCTGGCTTAATCAAGGTATATCGCACTCTATGTATGCATAAATCATGTCACCATACTGTATTATAACATATGAGGGATAAACTGACAGATTAATGACATACAGTTTATAGCAGATCTGTTGTTCATTAATTGTGACTCTTAGACCACAAGATGTTTGATCAGTAGCCACAAGATGTTTGGTTAGCAGAAATCTATCGAGCTGTCGCTATGAACCAACAGTTTTTGGACTTTACTACAAGTTGCTTTTTCAATGTGCTCCGCGTGTGCGCCAATGATGCGAAAAACAAAGAAACAATTGAAACTGTGCACCTTGCGCCCAATAACTTGAAATGCAAATGAGCACACTCTGAGTACATTTTTTTAATTATACGAAACAGTTTTCAAACGTGGTAGAAAGCTGAAGTTTGCTGACATAGGATGGCAATCAAGTTATTAGGATGTCCGTAATAGGGCACCGAAAAAAAACCGGTTGCATCATATCCTCGATACATAGAGCCACTTGCTTTGCTATTCATCATTTTGAGCGAAATGAGAAAGCAGAGCCTTCACCTGGGAAGATGGAATGAATTTAAATAAAGCATGTGCAATGAGCAACATTTAATCTCCCAGCCAAACCAAAAAATTGCGTTTCAAGCCTTTTTTGTGCCAAAAGCAAACTTTCTAGAGATAAAATAGAAACAACGTTCTCAGTTACCCTCTGTTCAGACGACGCGTAAGTTTTGAAAGATAACGAGAGGTGTTGAAGTTTAAAGAAACAAGGAACTATGCTCAAATCTAGGGCAGAGGAATACGCATGAAAATTTTAGTTTGTATCGTTGAAGAGGGATCTTCAATCTGACGACACTAACGGTCTCCTAGTCGTGCCACGACGAATAGAATGATATAGTTTTGTTTCGTGGAATCTCGACCAGAGTTAAATGCCCCGTCCTTTCCCTTCTGCTCGTTCTCCTTTGCTCGTTAAGACCCAGCAAGATGTACTAAAGTCAAGCTATACTTCGGTTTTAGGACAAATAGAAGGGGTATCGTGAAACTTGTTTGACCCTCAGAACCCTCCGCTGCCTCACCGCTTTGTGTACGTGACTGACTCTCCAACGTATCTCACAAGCATGCGACATTCGGAATGATGCTGAGATAAATGGATGAACTGTTAAGAGAGCACAGTCGATATGACTTCATTTTGGACCATATGTACGCAACTCCTGACTATCATGACTTATAATAACGGGCTAAGGATGTTTACGTGACTTTGTGTGTGTGTTTGTGTGTCTGTTACGAAATTCGTAGAGCGTGTTCCAGCCAACGTCCTGAGCCCAAATTTTGCACAGCACATGCTACCAGCACAAAACTCCACCACGCAAAAGCATGAGCGGATTCGTTGAGTGGAACTCACAGAAATTGCGGGTCAAACGGGTCCATTTCGCTTCTGACCTACAAAATTGGGTCCCTATTAGCACTTTTTGCGAAGTCGTGGATGAATTTGGTAAGCAAATGTGCAAGCGATGGAGTTCAGCCAGAAAAGTGGTCGAAAGTTTACTACATAACGAAAACGGCGCAAAAACAAATTGATTGTGTAAATGGTCAATTTGGCGAGGTTCTAGCTAAGCGTTTGAAAAGGTTTTCGCACTGAGATGTACCTCACGGTTACTATTACCTTTATGGCGACTACCAAGCCATGACAAATCCAAAAACCTATTCAAATTTGCGTTTTTCTTCCTGCGAAAAGTTTCATCCACACGAAATCACCGATCTCACGTGAAAAGACTTTTTAAATGAGTGGTTGTTTACGTTTCATTCGTGGTAGTTGGCATAGCGCGGTGAGTTCCAGTGCCACAATTTTACGAGAATGAGTAAGGCACATACCAGATAGTAGAGCCAGTGCGAACCTCTGCGAAGCAGAGGTGACGCACTGGTATCACATAAAAAAGTTCAACAGCTTATGTGTCGTAATACCTGTTCTCGGATTTGATTGTTTCTAAGCCATCACCAAACTAACTGGGTTTTTTCGGAGCATAAATTTCGGATTCCCATAAGTTTTGCACGTTTCTGTCTTATAAGGAAACGATACTTGTGATCAGCCATTTGGCATGCGATGCATAACATGAGGTGCACCTCGAAACGCTGATTCTAAATCTGTGCTCGAAATCTGCGAAACGATCATATGAAAGCAATTATGAACTTTTTTCGTAAAAAAATTTGCGTACTTTTAGATAGTTAAAATCACCCAGTTTGGGCTATTTTACCATTTGAAGCTATTGAGGAAATCTTAAAAGGTGTACTTTGTATTTACACCTATCATATTCAGCATTGGTAGAAGAAAGAAAGTTTTTTATCAATAATTTTCACCCTCCGCAGTATGGCAGTTTATTCCTGAAAAGACATTTATAACTCCATCCAGGTTTTCGTTTTGCAGGTATGGAAAACAGTAGTCGAACCAGCACCAAAAGGCGCATTTTTTGGTATACAAATCATTATGAATGGCCGGGGTCACCAAGTATCATATCCTTCCCTGCTTAGACTATCTAAACTTCGAAATCTATAATTAAATGAAGAGACTAAATCACTTGCTTCTTCTTTTTTTGGACCCTAAATAGTTTTCGAATCATAAGCTTTAATGAATATCGCGCTCCAACATGTCTGAAGGAATGTGGAGGTCTTAGGAGAGCGGTAATTTTTTAGTTCTTTCTCTTCTCCTACAGACAATTCAATGTTGCCGGTAAAGGGAGTACAGAGAGGATTTTTTATGGATATGAAAAGCTAGAGTAATTATTTCAGAGTTTTTTTGCTAATTTCTGTTTACTGAACACTGTTGTGCAAAGAATACTAGTTTTTTTTATTATACTTGATTGTAGCCTCTATCCCATTTCATCATCAAAGGGAAATTTGTGCGATGTCATAGGGCAAAAGTGCTCGAAAACAAAGTGCCGTTTCCTGCTCCTCGTCTGTAACTTCACCGCGCTTCCTCGCTACCGCAAACGCTGGTTACGGGCCAGTTGCTTGTGATAACCTTCCCTTCGTCATTCCGAACCCACCTCTAACAAAGCGTTTATCAGATTGTAGCTTTTGATCACTACTCGCTGACAACGTTGCCAAACACCTTTTTTTGATTTTTTGATTTGAACAAAAAATTGTTCGGCAACCTTGTCAGCGAGTAGTGATCAAAAGCTACAATCTGATAAACGCTTTGTAAGAGTTCAATGGCTCTTGTTTCTGTTTTTAATGTAGACAACTCGTCAATTACTTCTTCAATTGTGGCTGAATTTTGTGAAAATTTGTGATAAGTGTGTTTTTCTTTGTAGTTTCTTTTAGAGTGATTACGCGGGCATATTTCATGTTTAGGCGATTCTTGCGCATAATGAGCGGAACAATTCACATTACGTCGCCGGAAACAAAAATGACAAGACGAAGTGAATAAAGGGCATATCAAAAACAATTGATTTTGATGCAAGCTTTGATTCAAAAATAAAACTTTCTGTTTTCAGACTCGATGTTCTTGCTGTTCAAAATCTTCTTGGCAATCACCACTTCCGAAACATCATTGAATTGAGGGTTTGCGAGAAAGGCCAGTTTTTCCTCGCTTCAAGGCAGGCCCTGGAGCGTAAACTTGCTGCTTGAGATAACGCCAAAAGAAAAATCTCAAAATTTTCGTACTTCTAACCGGTTAGCACTTACTTTTGCTTTTGCTTTTTCCAAATAACCATCAATTTTGATGAGGGACAAGATTTAAACAACTTCACACTTGCGGCTCTATCTCTGGACTGACTATCGTAGGTAGTATACTTTAGACCGAATCGAATAAATATTCGAGTATTCGAATAAAATATTCGAATAAATTCCAAGTTCTCTCTTCTCTGAACCTGGGCATTCTGATTAGTAGTTTTATGAGTCAGTATGCCGAACCCAGGTTAGTACGGTGGTATCGTTTATTCGACCTTACGTTTCGACACAGTCGTCGTCTTCGGACGTCTGAAGTAGATTGCAGTTGAATCTTTGAAACAAGACCGCCAAACGCCATTGCCAAACATCAGTGAGTATATATGAGTAACTGCTATTTGCTGTAACTCATATGTGAGTTACAGCCTGCACATATATAAAGAACGATCTACTGAGCAGCTCTCAGTGGCGTCCGTGCCATTTGTGCGGCAACTGACTTCCCACTAACACCGCGGTGGATCAAAGGTCAGTTTCTTCACCGGTGTGTGCCTCAGTACGTTGCGCGCGGGACGAAGTTTAGACTCACTGATGTTTAATGGCGTTCGGCGGTCTTGTTTCAAAGATTTAACCTGCAATCTACTTCAGACCTCCGAAGACGACGACTGTGTCGAAACGTAAGGTCGAGTAAACGATACCACCGTACTAACCTGGGTTCGGCATACTAACTCAAAACTATTCGAATAAATTTTATTCGAAATTCAATTATTCGAAAATTTCAAAATCTCGAATATATTCGATATTCGCTTATTTGAAATTTGTCAATTTCGAATTTATTCGATTATTCGTTTATTCGAAAACTTTGATTTTTGAAAATATTCGAGCATTCGAATATCTATTTTCAGAAGTTATTCGACTATTCGACAATTTCGTGTATCGAATAACTATATGACAGCGTCACAATTTTGATTGCTACATCAGCAACCATCGTTTGTCGTCCAAGTTGCCCACTGCATGGAGTCCTTTATTGTGCTAATTCGTTTAGAATTTGTTTGAATATTCGACATAATCGATGCAAAATATTCGTTTATTCGTTTTTTTTTCTCAAATATATTCGAGTATTCGGTTTTTTCATCTCGAATATATTCGATATTCGATTATTCGACGATTTTCTTACTTCGAAAATATTCGATATTCGATTATTCGACATTTTTGTTTTCCGAAAATATTCGATATTCGAATATTCGACATTTTTTGTTTTTGAAAATATTCGAAATTCGATTATTCGATACTTGTGATTTTCGAATATATTCGGTTACTCGATTATTCGAAAAAATTCTCGAATATTCCAACGTATAGTAGGTAGGGGTCACATGCTCTATTTTTGGTAGACGTTAGTATAATATATAATACATATCGCCTCTGACTGGAGTTTCAAATGCACTGGTCGTTTCGAGGGCTTATTGCAGTAAGACTGTAGTAGAACACGTGTTCTATCATACATGTGCTGCCAGAATTGCTCAAATGGTCCAGTGTTAAAAACAAGACAATCCAAGCAACGAAAGAGCTTTGTCTAATATGCTCATATACAGCAATACCCTATTTAACCTACGAAGAGACGTACAACTGCTTTCATTCACGAGGTAAGTGTTTTTGGTCAAATAGGCCTTTCAAAACAGATATTATACCATTCTGTAGATCTAACACTGAATTACCAATCTGACGGCAGTTACGAGCGTTTATTGAAAAATGGACGCTCTACTGAGATAAAGTAATCAAGAAACTCCCAGGTGGTCCAGTGTTAGATATGGGGAGCTCTTCAATGGATAGCTTTGCCTAATCTTATATATAAAGCTGAATGTCTGTTTGTCTGTATGTTCTGTCTGTACGTATGTTCCGAATAGAAAATTCCATTTCTGAACCGATCCGGACCAAACTTGGCACACATACACTTCGGGGTCCGGCGGGTGTCAAAGGCTTTCGTCATCGATCGATATCGACTTTATCGATTTTTATCGATTTTTTTGCAGAGTTCACCTACGGGGCTGGGAGTTGGCACAGGGGGGTAAGCGAGCACGGGGATTCCGAATACAACATTAGTTTTTGAAATCGTCCATTATTTTTATCGATTTTATCGATTTTTTTCCAAAGTTTGAGCTACGGGGCTGGAAGTTTGCACAGGGGGTAATCGAGCATGCTGATTACGAATACAATATTAGTTTCTGAAACTGTCCATTTCTTTTATCAATTTTATCGATTTTTTGCAAAGTTTGAGCTACGGGGCTGGAAGTTCGCACAGGGGGTAATCGAGTATGCTGATTACGAATACAATATTAGTTTTTGAAATTGTCCATTGCCTTTATCGATTTTATCAATTTTTTGCAAAGTTTGAGCTACGGGGCTGGGAGTTGGCACAGGAGGGGTAAGTGGGCATGCTGATTTCGAAAACAACACAGGGAACGGGAAATGAAGTGTAGTGGGCACAGGAAAAGGCTGTACAGGAATAGGGATGGGACCTTTATTACAGTGTTTTCACAGGGCCGGGCGGAGCCGAGTAAGCAAGCTAGTATACTTCACACTCAATACTGCTTTATCTGAGCGCTGAAGTAGGCGTAACAACTATTTCGCTCAAATTTTGAATGCATTTTTTCTCCAAAATCTCTCGTAAGTAGGCGTCAAGAAACGTTCGGCAAATAAGGAAAACAGACATAGAAACAGCGTTTAAATTACCATAATGGTGTGCATTTCATTTGGAAAGCCCACTTCGATAAAAAAAACTTTCTTGTTAGTGTCTAAACTGAGTGACTCAACCTCAAAATTGGCTCGGCAGATAAGGAATTGAAATCAGAGTTCAATTCTCTTTAACATTATCAAGAAGCCGCTTGGAAAAGCCTTATCGACAAAAACAGTTTCCTTGTGAAATTATGGTCGTTCCATAAGTTTGTAGCATTTTCATTTTCGTCTTCATATCTTTGAGGAGCTTGATTTCGGCAAGATGCGTATATCATTTGAAGAGGCTGGTTGTGGGTTGTGCTCTTTGAAATAGGTCCACTGATTCCGGTGAAAAGCTGATTCACTCGGGTCTCGTAGCTTCCGATGGAGATCTTGAAAGGCAAAAACGAATTTCGATATATGCGCATTTTTCCTTATGAAAAGAAGCGCTTTTGCACAGATTTTTCTGTCGATTATGGAACACGGAATTCGCACATCAATATGAGACGAAAAAGAATTAGATTGCTACGAAAGATTAGGGTTGAGCAGGATGGCCCCGAACAAAACTTTTTGGGGACGAGCAGGACGTCCTGCACTGAAAATTGCTGCATAAGTAGGCGATGATCAACGATACCATAAGCAGTCCAACACCGTCTGAACCAGGTCCTACCGCAGAAAAAGCCTAACAGACAGATCCAATGAGTTTTTTTGCATGACGAAACATGGCTCCATACGGCAAAATGTTGTCAAAACTGTCTTACACGACTTGACGGGAGGTACAGGGCTTTTCAACCTGAGAGTCGCAAGTTTCGCTTGCGCGGCTCCTCCAACGCGGCCGCCTCGCTCAGGCCGCGCGCGGCGTTTGCTGCGTATCGCCCGGATTTCGCCAAGCTGCAGTCGACGCGCAGCCAGCGCCACGAACGCTGCGCGGACCTAAGCGTGGCGTCCTAGCGGGGCGGGTGGGAAACTCAGGTTGTAAAGCCCTGTACTTCAGTAACCAACAGACTCTCAATTCTCGCTCTATCGGATTATTATTTATTCCGCTCTCTAGCACACCTCATGAATGGTGAATGTCTCGATTTCTGTAGGTAGTTTGAGCGCTGGTTAGATGACTTTCTTTGGACCCGGCGCGCTGCCGTTTGTACGATTGAGATGGAGAAACTAACAAGAATGTGTCAAAAGGTCGTGCGCTACAACGAGGAATATATTCTGATTGATTTCTACTGTGGATTGTTGCTTTTGTTGGTTTATAAAATGCTACGAACTTATGGAACGCCTAATAGAACATTCATGGTTTTCAACGTGCAAATAACGAGTGTATCTTCGACGCTTTTTGAAGCAACTTCCGATATCTCCAGCTTCCTTCTAGTTGTGTCTGCCACTTGCTTGTTCTGAGTATTTCTGATGATTTTTAAGTCCCCTTTATTTGTGTCCGTGTTGAGCTGGTCATTCTGCTCATGTAGCCATCGCTCAGCTAACGAATTCAAGACTCTCTGACTATTTGTTAGCTGAAAACAATCTATCTTGACATATTGGTAGTCCTCGCATTCGGACATGACCTGGGCTTTGTAAACATTCTTGTGCACCGATTAGCACAGCAGAATGCTCGGAATGCTGGATTGTAAACTGCTTTATACACTACTTTTTGCAATTTTTGCAGAATTTAGCGTACAAACCTGCTTCGAATCCCCTAATAAAATTGCGATCTCCACAAATGTCTAATTACTTGAGATGCGTGTAGAGCTCAATTAGCATGTAATCGAGTAAAACAATTTAGTTGTTTACAAGTAATTAAGCAAGCGAAGTGAAAGGGGAGTACTACGTGAGATGATGGTTGAACAGATCATATAATCAGCAAATAACAATCGAGCACTGCGAGCAAACATGATACGGATAAGGCAGCTCTAATTGTGTAAAGCCAGCTAACAAAGCTTTGATCGCTTACATAATGGATGCAATAGAATTTCACAAGTTTCTCAAACGTCCTAAGATAGAACTTCAGAGTGATTATGAGTACAAACATTGTGCACGTATCTGCTGTAGAACGTTATGATTTTGACATGATCATGCCCCCAACATTTCTATCATATTTACAATGAAGTTTGCAAATAGTTTGAATCCCCGCACAATCGTGAATCGTCCTTGACTTCAATTGCCGAGCGTTAGTGATCATCTCAGCAAAGGTTTCTTCATAATACATCGGATCATGAAAGGACGGTGTAAGCTCAAAGCGTTGCCTTGCCTTCAAGCTGAGTATACATCGATTTCTGGGTATGGGTCTGGTCGAAACTGCTTGTTAGTGATTCTTAGATCAACCTTGTGAAAGGAAATAGCAATCGAACTTGTTCTCTTAAGATGTGGAGAGCTAAACACAAAGTTCCTTTATTCTTACCGCAATTTCCAAAGCGTTTATGCATACTCAGACAATTCACAGGAAGTTTCGCAGAACGTTTGGGAAGCTCAGCCGTGCCACCTGCGGTAGTCCCATAAACGTGCTGCGGAAGTTGCCAAATGAGATGAATGTCAAACAGCAAAAGAGCGAGATTCGAACTCTGTTGACTGCGAACTCTCTTACTATCCTCTGCATTACCAATGAGTTCCATAATGCACTATAACTGTTGGCGAGACAACATCGCAAGAGGAACACATTCAAAAACCTGCGGAAGTACTGGCAGATCACAGATTGTGGAACTGTTTGCATTTTTCGGATTCGTAGCGTTCTTCAACAGGTCCTGCGGAAGTTCACGTTTTCAACCAGTCTGACGTGAAAATTCCTGAGTATGCATTTTTAACTTTCCACTTTTGTAGTAGTGAACAGCCTGCGGTACCGCTACAACTTTTGCTTGTCCTGCGGCATTTTCGGTGAATTGTCTGATTGAGAAGGACCTAGTAATCCACATTATGAATCAAGTGCGGCGAATAGTACTAACAGTAATATTTGCAAGAAATGGTGGAATTTAACGCGACGTGTACTAAAGAATGCGAATTTTTATTTTTGTATTTGAGTGGTTCAGCTTTAAAATTCAAAAATTTCATGATTGGCTATACTTCTAGACAAAGATCAACATCGTTTCCTGTTTGTCACCACTACTTTGAGCTTTGGCTGTTCTCGAGAAATGCTCCGTAACCTGCCTCCACACAATCTGAGAGTCGATGATGCATATTCTAGGAGCATCACGTACAAAATAAATTGTGGTCTTCTATTCTATGTTGATTGACTTTCTTATTGCTAAAATCTGA